CTCAATTCCTTAGGTATACTTTTGTTTTTTTTTTTTTTTTTTTTTTTTTTTTTTTTTTGCTGTGTAGTTCAGGCGAACTATGTAGCCCAGGCTTGCCTCAAACTCCTGGCGATCCTTCTGCTTCAGCCTCCAAAGTGCCCTCAAAGTATACATTTTATAAACAAGCTTGGAATGTAGGTAATTTTATGTGAAAAATTGTAAGTCAATATAGTGACATGAAGAATGAATCCACTGTCTGTGGGAACAGAGAATACACAGCTGAAACTATGTCTTTATGTCTTATGTTCTTTTCTAAGCAGAACAGCCAGTAATTTCAAGAGCACAAGGCCAAGCAGGTCATAAGACCCAAATTCCAATACTAGTTCCACTTAATACAAGAATATGCATACTTCATTTCTCTGTATCTCAAGTTTCTCATCCATGAAATAAAGACAGCATTCCCTTCTACTTCACAGGGTTATTCTGAAGCCCACAAATATAACCAAAGGGAAGGCACATGAAATCTGTGTTTATCACAGCAAGAAAGCCCCTACAAGCCGGGTGTGGTGATTCATGCCTGTAATTTCAGCACTCAGGAGGCTGAGGCAGGTGGATACAATGAGTGCAAGGCCAGCCTGGGCTATGCGTGAGTTCAGAGCCAGCCTGAATTACAAAGTGAGAGCCTGTCTCAAAATACAAAACAAAACAAAAATGCCCCTACAAGTGCTATATATAGCACTTTATGAAATTAGATAAACTATCTCCACAAACCTTCCCTAAAGTCTGCAGTCAACTATTAAAAATGTCAATTAATTTAGCACTCCCAAAACAGCTATGTGCCTCAGCTACCTAGATTACTGGATAGATGTGCATTTGTTTGAAAGGGACACATCCCAGTATGATCATCTTTATTAAGTACAGATTATCCCTCCATCCCTCAGGCTGCCAAACAGAATGAGTTTCCTTTATTTCTATAAATATAAACTGTTCAGCTATAGAACATATTTTCTGACTAAACTTGGAGGATATCAACACACTCCCACTTAAGATATGATTTTATTGCTGTTACTTCTCGATCATAGAAGTTGGAACAAGTGAGCAATTCTAAAATTCTCACTTTAACTGCTGTATGTTTTACAACAAAAGACAGCTGAACTTACTTTAGGCACAGAAAATCTTTGCAGCTGGGTCCATGTGATACTGGCTAAAAACATCATCTCGCCAAACAGACCAAGGAGTAAATTATTCCTTTGAACTCCTTTGAGGGGAAATGAAGCCTGTATTTATCTTGACAGGTGGTGGTGAAGTCAAGTATAGATTTAGCATTTACAACTACTAGTGAGGAAAGCTCTTGGCATAGTACATAAAAGAAAGTGTCAATTAAAATGAAAAGCTGCTCCTTGCCAGAAACACCCATTCACACTTGGGCTGCTACTAGAACATTAATACTGGAGAGCCGTATGAGCTCAAATCACTGAAGAATAAATTTACAGCTGTTAAAACTGGGCTCATTTAATAATAACAAAGATGGAAGGAAGTTAAAAAAATATTGCAGGCCCATCACTAACGATTTATAGGTAGGAAACTGAGGCCTAGGAAAGTAGAGTGTTCACTGGTATTACGGTGCTAACAAGTAGAACTCCAAAAGCTCTTCTGAATCCAAAGACAGTGATCCTTCTAGAGACATTAAACCTACCATCAGCCACCATACACAAGAAAGTCAAAGTCAGTTTCCCATTCTTCCCAGCAATTCCCAAATTCCTGGTTAATTTTTAGATATGCCATCTCTATTATGAATATTTCACAAAACCATCTTCAGGGCCGGGGATTTAGCTCAGTGGTTCCGCTGCCTGCAAGCACAAGGACCCAAGTGTGATCACTGGTACCAAAAACAAACAAACAAACAAAACCATCTTTAAACTAAGATATAAAGGTCCCAGAACAGAATGAGAGATTAGCAGTTACAAAAATATAACTTTACATTCCTCTGTTAAAGGAATAATTTCCCATTCATAGCTTTAGAAGGCAGAGACCATAAGGTACCTCCCTAGTACAGCATGATTAAGAGACAGTGATAACAATAAATCACATGTAAATTAGGCTGTTTCATATAAATCTGATGACAGCTTTTTCTTTTACAAAATACAGTACAATTGACACAAAAGGACAAATACTGTATTGATTCGACATACATGAGGTACAGTACTTAAAACACTCAAAATTCATAGAGAAAGAAAGGGTGATGGGTACCAGGAGTTGGGAGGAAGGAAGAGGGAAACAGGGAGTTAGTGTTTAATACATACAGAGAGTCAAATCAGGAAGATAGTTCTGCAGATGGATGGTGGTGACAGTTGTGCAGAAGTGTGAATGTACTTCATTCCACTGAATTATATACTTACATGATTCAAATGTAAGTTTGATATTATGTATACTTTACAATTTTTTAAAAAGGAAAAAATATAATTGGAAGTGTTTTATGTTTTCTATAAAAGAACAATGAAATAAAGCACAATAATTCTGTTTTAAGAGCAATATAAAAGACACATATACTTGAAACCATTTCTACTCTGATAAATACAACTTACATGTCCCCAAATAGTCCAAATCAGAATGTTACACTGCAACTCCAAGATGAGACAACAGCATTCAACCCAACTCTACTTGGAGATAAGCCGTAGACCAAAGTGTGCTGGCCATGCTGGGTGGAGAAGGTGGTGAAGGGTGAAGAGCTCTTACCTCCCACTGCCCTCTCTACCCGGCACAGCCCCCGGAGCACAGATTCCAGCAGGACTTCGGTGTTGGGCCAGGGACTGCAAGTGTGCCAGAATCTCTGGTGGTCCTGCTCGGTAAAGCCGGAGGACGTTTCTGTGAGGTCAAACATATTGGAAGCTGCAGAAGGGAACTTTTCTGCCATTTGGCTATGAAAAAGTAAGCACCAGTATGAATAGAAAATAAAGAAATAGTTGAAATATAAAACAAAGCAAATGATCTTTTCACCTTGTCAACAAATGTTAAGAGTAATTTATAGTTCAACTTCATTTCAGGTCTTCAAATAACTCTGGGGGAAGTGATGCTGTGAAAAGACCACCAGCTACAATGAATACATTTGTTGCTGTCACAGGATATTACCTTTTAGCGGTGCAATGTAATCTTGTGAATCAATCATAAGAACATCACAATGCATCTTCACATATATTCCTATTTAATCAGAACCACAGTTGAAAGGAACAATTTAGTCCATGTTTAGACAATACATGAGGGATATAAGACTGAAAGTGACCTTGGCAAGACCGCAGGAGTAGGCTGAAGCAAGGAAAGACCAGCACTCCAAATAACTCAATGAAGACTCACAGGGCTTTCAATTCCTGTATCCTACATAAGCAGGGATAAAAAACAACTAGTAATTTCTTTTATCTATTGGGAATCACTCTTATACATATATAAGTCTCTTAGTTATATTTGGAGAACTCAAAGAACACTGGGGTGGTAGGAGGGGGTATGCAGAGTATAGGAGAAGATAAACTAAGATGTACAAAATTTAGGATTTCCAGCTATCAAAATTACAGCTTAGTGAATGCTAACACACTCGGATAGTGTTTCTCAGCAGTATATTAGCACTCATTGATATTTTATTATTTCTGCTACCTTGTGATCACCACTAGATTTCAGGAAAACATTGCTATTGGGCATAAAGAGACTAACATTCTCTGTCACAGGACTTTCATCTATCTTTTATTTGGTGTGCCTATCTTTCAATATTCATTGTATAAATAAATACTGTGAAATAAAAATGTTTGGATATCCCAAGTTTCTTATTTTGCTTTTGTATAAAAACTACTTTGTCTAAAATGTAAGACTATACCAAATAGTCCTACTAGTTTTTCTAGTGAAAGGCACTTAACTTAGTCACATACAAAAAGCATTTCTTGGGGGCTGGGGATTTAGTTCAGCGGTTTGGTGGCCTGCCTCGCAAGCGCAAGGACCCGAGTTCGATCCCCAGTACCAAAAAAAAAAAAAAAACAAACAAAAAGCATTTCTTGCCAGACACAGCCATACACTTGTGTAATCCCAGCTACTTGGGAGGCTGAAGCCAGATGATCAAAGTTCAAGATCACGCTGAGCAACTTAGCAAGACCTTGTCTCAAAATACAAAAAGGACTGGAGATGTAGTTCAGCAGCAGCACCCTCTGGGTTCTATAGCTGTACCATGCATACATGCATGCACACACACATACTCACATGAAAAAGAAACAAAAAAGCATTTATTGGCAAATTTTAAAAACTTGATTATCCACTAGTGATTTTGAGATTATGTGGGTGTACTGTAGATAGTATTTGTGTTGATTTTTAATATTAGGTCTTATGCAGTGCCCAAATGTTGGTCCAGGTTGGCTACAGAAAAATCGCCTAAGGAGTTTATTTAAAAGTATGTATTCCCAGGATCTGGCTCAGATATTACTAGAGTTTAGCAAGGAGATCTGTACAGATTAATCATGAACTCTAGACATCTGCTGCTGTATAACCCCTTATTTCTGAGAAGACCTAGACCTGACACAGTATTAGGAAAAAAAAAAGTCCTGCACTGATTTCTTCTAAAATAAGTTGTTCTCAGCAGAAGTAACTCATAAAATATAATGAGAAAATTGTGTGGCGGGGGGGCAGATTTTAAAATCTAAACAAAGAAAAAGGAACACCCTAAAAGTTAAGTTTCACCTTAAGGAACACCCTGAAAGTGCCTCGAAAAACTTTGTGCCCTCTGATAGTTGGCAGCAAACCAACTTTTAATTTCAGGTCTCTAGGCAACTTTTTTTTTTTATTGTGCTTATTGGAAGCAATATAACAAAATATGATGGTTATAAAGTTATGCGAAGAACTGTGCCTGTCCAAGTGAGATCTACTAAAGTCTGAAATAGTACTACCATAGTGGTGGTACTGGCTAAGATACTTTTGTTCTTTTCTTTTTTTAAGAAAAAGGGTCTCGCTCTAGTTCAAGCTGGCCTTGAACACATGATGTAGCCCAGAATGAGTTCGTTCTCATGGCGATTTCCTGCCTTGGCCTCGAGTACAAGGATTACAGGTGTGTGCCATCAGGCCTGAAGTTACCTTTGTTCGTGAAATCAGTATTATTATGAAAAGTAAAGATTCCTCAAACCACAACACTGAAAAAAGTAGTGCTACTTTAGTTTGATTACAGGACAGCTTTTCTTTAACATCCAGAAGGAGAAAATAATCAAAGGCATGTTTTTAATTGGGAGACTGACTTTACCTTATGTAACTGCAATACAGCAAGGACTTCTGCAAAAGGAAATTCTAGAACTATGTTATACATAGTAAGCAAATGGATAAATATATTAACTAACTGGTCAGGTCAAGCAAACAAATTCAAAGTGAAGTCACAGCTACAAATTGGAGAGTAGTGGCCAGGTCATGCAATAGGATAAGCAAATGAATTAGAAAAACCAGCAGTTTTTTTTTTTTTTCTAAAAAATAGTCTAATATGCATATATAACACATACGAATGCAAATAAGAATTTTAAAAAGTTTTTTAAAAATGTGATCCAACTATCCTATGACTGCAGCACCTTATTTAAAAGAAAAACAAAAAACATCAGAGCCAGGGATCTAGTTCAGTGGTTCCGCCACCTGCCTTGCAAGCACAAGGACCCAAGTTCGGTCCCCAGTACCAAAAAAAAAAAAAATAAATAAATAAATCCATCAAAGAAAATAATGAAATGATATACCGAACTATAGATTTAGAATTCAAATTGTTCAAGATGAAGATATTTACCTCAATATCCACTTGTGAATAGCTATTAATGGTTCACACCAGGAGGTGAAATCTATCATAAGGCTGAATTTATAAGATTAGGGAAGACTGCCCATTAGAAAGAATATACCCTCTTTGCTCAAGGTTTTATTTAAGAGATTTGGCTATCAATAAAATAAAAGGCTATTATTGCAATCCTTCCTGCTAGGTTCTATTTACCATTCTTTATTTTCATTTAACTTTTAATTTTCTTAATTGTGCTGACTCCTTAGATGATCAGAGGTATGGCCATCTAAATTCAGAAACATCATTCATCAAAAATCTCCAGCATTCTCCAGGGAAAACATGCAATGCAGCTTTTAGCTTCCTTGAGTACAAATATCAATCTTTTTTCTCCAGGCTAATAAATGTGATGTTTCATCCCCACATTCTCTGCTATAAGAAAAGATCTTTCATTTCAAAACACTCTTTACTAATGTGAAAGCCTAGTTGATTATCAAACTCACCTTTTCAGAGGTAAAGATTACAAGCCCACCAGCCAAGAATCAACCTTTTCAGATAAGTCTAGGTGATTTTCTTAAGTCATATTTGAAAACCACTGACTTAGACTGCCTCCCTTCTGTCCTCAATGTATATGCACTTAGGTAAATTACTTGGGATGGTAGGGTAAGTGTAATCTTCACGTCAACAGAGAACAAGTATAAATGGTATAGAGACAAAAAAGTAGAAAATTATGCTTTCATTAACCGAAGGGCTAAAAAAATGTGGGGGGCACATCAGATAGACACATTCTAATGAAAATACAAAATGCAATTCCAAGTAAAATTATCTTTGGATTATCTATTACTTTAGATTATCAAAAACATTCTATTAAACCCACTGTACAGCAATACTATGAAAACAGTATTTCATCCGTTCTTATTTCCAGATGATCTTATATTACAGAATACAATTAAGGAAAAATATACTCAAAATTACTAAGACCTAACAAGCCCTATGCACATTATGGGCATTAAGTCAACCATCAGTTGATGCTGATAATTTCCTTTCTTCTAGGTCAAGTTTTCCTACCTACAAAGATAGCTATGATTTTCAAAAGAAGAGTAAAAGTTAAAATAACAACCAACAAAGGCACGAAACTGCTGTGGCTTGCTTTCTGAAGCAGCTTTGATGATCATCAATCTTTTTTCCCCCAACAAGTAGACGGTCACATCAAAAGGTGAAATAAGTCCAATCCCCCAAAAACTGGACCCCAAAAGGCACAGTTCAAACTAGTGATTTAAAACGCTCCAAATGCATTCTCTTCATTTGCCTTTTCCCAGTGGTTCATCAATATTTAATGACATTTGCTGTACATTGCTCAAAGGCCCTGCAGGTGGAAGTGAATACAACGCTCCACACAAGCAAAATGTAAACCTGGAAGACAAATTATAACTGCATTTCACTTGTACAAGACAGGACATAAAGCCCTCCACCATGGTCCAGATTCAATAATACTACTACACTAAGGGAACCCTTCTATCTAAACAAACCCATTCTCAGACAATGGCAAAGCACACTCAGCAGAGGCAAAAACAAACACAAAAACAAATAAAAGATAGTATTTCCAGAAATTACTGGTTACAAAGAGGAGAAAACCTGGACTCTTTACTCACCATTTTAATACTGCTGCCAACTATAACATTAAAATCTGTACACATGACAAAATGGAAAAAAGTTCCAAAATGCAATAATTTTGGTAAAAGAATGTACTGACTAAGGATTACTACAGTTAACATTGCTATAGTAAAAACAACGGCAAACGGGGATTTGGCACCACATTTACAAAATAAAAGCATGCACTATTAATATACTTCAGATGTCTCCCGACAAAAAAAGCCATGAAGATGGAAAACAAGGGGCACACTGTACTGAGACAAACAAGCAAGAATCCAAGTGGTTAATTTAGTAGTAATGTAGCAGCAAAGTCATTGGTTCTGTTTGGAATTTAGCAATTTGTATTTCTAACTTACAGATGCCCTGGTGTGTCTTTATCCAAGAAGCTGACTTCATCATACTACATCAGCATTTATCGAGGAATTTGGTAATTAGCATAAACAATGTTAACCTCAACCATAAGCTTAAAAGAAAGCTAAAATCTTACTGTAGAACTCTTCAATGGAAATACCACTCAGAAAACCATCATGGTATTTTGAGCAGGAAAGCAACATAATTTCATTTAAAAAGCTATATTTGTTAGCCCTAATAAATGAAAAGAATTTTAAGTATGAGAATATTACATTCTGGACCATACCAAGAGTTAAAAACAAAGAGTTCCTACTAAGAGGAATCTTTTTCAGATGATCTAGTCACATCATGTGCATAGTTAAGACTGTGTTTAATAAAGATTCTTTTGCAAATAAAGAAATAAAATTTAGTAGTTATTCTTCTCTTGATGAAAAAAAACTTTAGAAATGAATTGGTGATTTGTTAAGAAGGAAAAAAAAAAGTAAGCTACGTATTGAAGTTCTGGAATGCAGCACCTCAATTTCTTATCTGCCCTAAAAATTATAAAATCCAAGTGATGTCTTGATGATCAATCACACTTTACAGTTGTTCAGATTCCAATGTCTGACTTTAGCATCTTATGTCAATTAAAGTTCCCTAATGCAGAAGATTGTGCTAAAAAGTGCTAAGGTTCTGCGTGCTGTTGCCATTCCCTGGTCCCGTCATGCTTGCAGCTGCCCCACAAGGCAGCAAAAGATGTCTGGTCTCAACACTCCACACTGTAGTAACTAGAAAAGAAGAATATTCTTAATCAGAAAAGGTCTAACAAGCCATGAGACAACACTATAGCACTATAAATAAATTTTTTTGAAATTTTACCTTTTATTAACATCCCCTTTCTTCAATAAAGTCCACATTCCTTTAAGTTGTTTTTAATGATGACATCTGTAACAGCATCAAAAACAAACTGCAC